CCATATAAAGTGAAAACGAAACCTGCCTCAACCAATTTTTTGTTATCTTCCCCCACCCCCTTCTTCAAAGGACATCTTCTGGAATTCTATATACAATACTGCAGCTACGTTACTGAAAGCATCCTACACGGTCCACGAAATAAGATTTAGTATCATAAACCATCCTGGGGCAGCTCAAGGATAGAGAAGAGAAGAGCAATCTCGCACTAATCAGCTTGGAAGGCCAATGAGGCCCCATAGGTTTCTGCAATAAACTTCCAAAGGATTTTCATACAATGGAAATCAAAAGGGCACATTAGTCACGCAGCTGGAGAGAGTCACAACCGAGGGAAAACGTCTTGCTCTTAACATTTCAGCTGCTTTCTACTTCAGATAAAATAGCCATCAGTGCGAGCCTAACAAAGGCTACAGCTCCCTGACACTCTGAAGGAAACTCATCCTTTATTTAAAACGAGGTGATCCTTAAGGTTTGTTTCACCTCCCGCATCTTGTTGTAATCAGGACATAAATGGTGCTCACAGACCCCTCCAGATATTCTCTCGGAAGTGTGAAAGACAATGTGGTAGCTGCCTCCTCTGTGTTGCTCTACGAATGTCGTATGCAGAAGAACACACAACCTGGAAACTACAACTATTCCAGAATGCAACAGCTAGACTGGTGACTGGGAGTGGCCACCGAGACCACATAATCTTGAAAGACCTACACTGGCTCCCTGTACGTTTCCGAGCACAATTCAAAGTGTTGGTGCTGACCTTTAAAGTCCTAAACGGCCTCGGCCCAGTATACCTGAAGGAGCGTCTCCATTGTTCTGCCTGGACATTGGGGTCCAGTGCCGAGGGCCTTCAGGAGGTTCCCTCACTGCAAGAAGCCAAGTTACAGGGAACCAGGCAGAGGGCCTTCTCGGTAGTGGTGCCTGTGGAACGCCCTCCCACCAGATGTCAAGGAAATAAACAACCACCAGACTTTTAAAAGACATCTGAAGGCAGCCCTGTTTAGGGAAGCTTTTAATGTTTAATAGATTCTTGTATTTTAATATTCTGTTGCAAGCCGCCCAGAGTGCCTGGGAAAGCCAGCCAGATGGGCGGGGTATAAATAAATAAATAATGATGATGATGATGATGACGACGATAGTCTGGCCCCTTCTACAAAGTGAGCCAACTAGTTACTATGTCTGTCTCCTCCAAGGAAGCTGCAGGGGTGGAACATGAGAACGGCCATTTTCAGTGGTAGCTCCCTGTTTGTGGAATGCTCTCCTCAGGGCCGGCACCAACATTGTCTGTATTTTAGGTGCCAGGCAATAATGCTTCCATCCACCCAAGCTTTGGGCCCTCGAGGACTGCCTCCTTCCATATGAACCTACCTGGACCCTGAGATCACCTTCTGAGGCCCTTCTTCATGTGCCTCCTCCACGAGTGGTCCAGAAGGGTGGCAAACAAAAAGAACGGGCCTTCTCTGCAGTGGTTCACCGTCTGTGGAATGCTCTCCCCAGGGAAGTTCGCCTGGTGCCTTCATTATACACCTTTAGGCACCAGGCAAAAAGGTTCCTTTTTAGCCAGGCCATTGGCTGATCTTATTCACATCCAACACCTTTTTAGAATGTGGCTTTTTTTTTGGGGGGGGGTTATTGGGTTATTGAACATGACATGTATAGCATTGAAAATGACATGTATATCTTTGTACAGTTGGAGGTATGCAGAAAACATGTATTCCCTTGGGATACACAGTATACTGGGGAACATTTTTTTTTCCATTTTCTTTTGCATGAGATTTTTCAGCTGTTCTTATATGTTCTTTCAATGCTGATTTCAAATCTGAAATCAATTTTTGTGTACATGCTATAGTTATCTTTCCATTTCCGACTTTTGCCGATAAGTCATATTTACACTGGGGTTAGTGGACACTGACAGGTTGATCTACCCTAACCACATGGTAATTATTGTTTTGCAAACTTACTTTTTCTTTATTTTTACAGTTTTGTAACCTAAATATTTGTATTTTTCAGATCGGACCATGACAAAATTGTGTAAACAAGCCTGGTGCCTTTTGTTATGCTATTTTTGTCTGGTCAATACGAAGGGTATCGGCAAGAAAAAACAATATGCTGTCGTCTATCCCAGTATTCCTTCAGCAATTAGACCTATCCCACACTCTGAGGAACTCCCAATTCCAGTTTTTAAGGGGTTTGTCTCTTCCGAAGATGAAGGAAGTGAACATGGTGAGTAGCATAACTGGATCATCTGTGTGGATCTTAGAATGGTCAACTTCTTGCTTGGACAACAGAAAGGCTTTACCAAGTACCTGAATAACAATTGTAGATACCACTGGGAAACAAAAATAGCAGTCACTTGTGTGATCCTTGGGTTTTTGCCAAACCATGGGGAACCCCAAAAAGGCATACTCTCCATTTTCCTTTTGTCCAGTCTCTAAGATTTTCCTCACAATTGTCACAAACATATGCAGAGCCATTTCTTGTCACCGTCAGGGAATTTCAAATAGCTTTTATAGGCACACTGTTATATTGCGTATTTGACGAGGAAGTGCATAGCAGCCACATACATAACAAAAATACAATATTTAGGTTACAAAACTATAAAGATAAAGAAATATTAAGTTTGCAAAACTTATAACTATAGCATGTAGACAAAAATCAATTTCAGATTTGAACATTCAGCATTGAAAGAACATACAAGAACAGCTGAAAAATCTCATGTAACAGAAAATGGAGGAAAAAAAATGTTCCCCAGTGTTGTCTATTCATCTTTACATAATTGCTCTGATCCTAATCCGTGTTTACTCAACTCACATTCCACCAATGCAAAATGACCTTATTTAATTCCAAGTGAGTATGCCTAGATTTGTCCTTCCTCTTTCTATCTTAT